CAGCCCAGGGGCCCCCATCCTGACTCCAGCCCAGGGGCCCCCATCCTGACTCCAGCCCAGGGGCCCCCATCCACCTAAATCCGGCCCTGTATATACATATATATATATATATATATATACTAAAAAAAACTACTACTTACTACTTGTACTACTATTCCTACTTTGCAGTTTTTCACTTATCGTGGGGCTTCAGGGTACGAATCCCCCGCGATAAACGAGGGACTACTGTATAATATTTCATTTCTGGACATAGCAGTTTGAGAGAATATTTTAGTTTATTTTCCGTCAGACTTCTGATTAACCTCAATGTGCTGATCTGAACTCACAGCTGATGGACATGTTAAAGATAACTGTTGGTCTTTTTAGACTGCGTACAGATGTTTTAGCAGTACCATCAGTTGTCCATGTCCTACCTGGAAAACCACGACCTTGCCATCGTCAGCCTGCAGGTAGAAGGTCCAGGTCGAGGAGATGAAGCTCTGAGCTGAGCTGACGATGTCATTGCACCAGCTGGACACCGCCTCCATCACAGAGGGGGACTTTGGGCGCAAAGTCATGGCCTTCAGCTGCAAAAACAGAGAGAGCAGGTAATTTAATGAAACAGGAAAAACACTGACGGCATTTGGACTGGCTCCGATATGTGCGTGCATGTGTGCTTCTAACAATGTTTCACCACCTGGTGGATCACATCGAGCGTGAACACAATGCATGTGTGTGTGAATGTATCAAGTGCAGAGAGATCTTTCTTCACCTTCCTCCTCAAGATCTCAGGTTCAGAGGGTTGGCTGGCACAGCCGGTGCTGCAGGCCTCCTGCTCCAGCAGCTTGATGTACGCCTCCTGGCACGCTGTGAGGCAAGAGATACACGAGAGAGGTGACAGGGGGGCGTTTGTGACAGGAAAGAAGAGGATGTAAGTGCAAATGAATGAACAAGTATTAAGACCAAAAACTAAAAAAAAAAAACTAACAGCTGAATAAAAGATTGAATTTTGCGTCCTCAGACTCCTGCAGAGACGGGACTCCTGCTGCGTCTGGATGGCAAATTGCCTCTTCGATTTTCAACAGTTCAGTTAAAACAACCTCTGACATGAAGAAAGCACTCACTAAGCCCAGCAGTTGTTACACAAAGCTGCCTACAAAAAATAATAAAGAAAAGAAAATTACAATATTTACCACAGCTGAGATTTTCAGAACCTTCATGTTGATTAGAATCGGTGTTATCAGCTAAAATAATCTGACAGAAGCAAACTGTTTATGTATAGCATGAACTTTGTTGTTTATGTCTAGAAAACTTTTCACACGTTTCAATTAACTTTTCACAACATGTAGTCTTAAATTGTATAATGGTACTATAATGAGTCTTATAAGTGTCTTAACATGAGGACGTCTTTGTCTTTTAACAAAACCCTTCTGGATAAGAACGTTTCTTAATCTGTGAAAAGAATTGATGGATTGTGGTATTATCGTCTTTCTTTTGAACTGCAGCTCGAACAAACAGTCCAACTAACAGACCGAGACACTGACTCACCTCCCTGACACTCCTCCCTGCTGGTGTTAAAGCCGGAGTTCCCACTGACAAACTGGCAGATGGAGTAGAGGCGACAGCCGCGGTGACAGGCGTTCATTATGGAGTCCTAAAAGCCAGATGGGGAGAAGATAACAGGGGGCAAAATAGAAATGTCTCTGGTATTCTTGGCCAAGCTCCATATAACTTTGTTTAGAAATATGACACAGATGGGTCAGGGCATTTTTCTCGTAATGACATGGTGCAACTGTCACATTATGGGCTGCTGTAAACAGTTTATAGGCAAGGCTGTCAGACACGTCATAGAAAAACAGGGATAATGAGCAAGTTGTTTTAAATTTGTGTTGAGTGATGTGGTGGTGAGGAAGGGAGACGCACATTACTGGAGTTTCTCTCTTCTCAATGTTCTCCCCATCAACTGTGGAAACAGCGCCCTCTGGTGGACGCAGTGAGAACCACACGGTAAACAGCGACCATGAACGCTACTGCAGCTTTTTCTGCTTTCTTTTTATTTTCTTACTAAAGTAGAAAACCAACGGTGTTTATTCAAAAATAATGATTAATTATTACACAAAATATAATTAATTATAAGTCACTTTCAACCCGACATTAACAGAAGCCTGTTTTCCATCATTATCCTCAGCCAAATGGGGGGATCTGGTCTGGTCTTGCTGCCTTGCAGCATGGTCTGAACCACACCTGAAGGCAGCTGGAAGGACTGGGGATGGAGGGGTGGGGAGACTGCAGGCATTTGAAACTACAAATCTATAGACAGGCTTTAAATCTGTAAGCAACGTTTAGAAATGATCAACCTCCTCCTCACACACACCCCTGTCCGTCCTGGCCCTGCGCAGAGAAACTGCCCCTGCATGTGTCATCCTTCATGGTGGTCTCTGCAGCTCCTCCATTATCTGTGAGGATGCATCAATGCTCAGCAGCTCCATGACTGCAGCTCGTTAAGGTACGATGCATGTTTCCGGCCTAAACGTCAGGCTGAGCCGGCGAGCCATTACGCACGGCACTAATATATATTTAGGCCTATATAATTATTTTTTTGTTTGTTTTGTTTTTTCCTGTGTGTGTGTCCGCTTGCAGCCAGCAGTAGCACGTCTTTCTGCAGACTGCTACCCCACACGAGATGAGTAACTCACCTTGGCGGGACTCTTGTTCTTGATGGTGAGCTGGCACTGCTTTTTGCAGTAATTGATGTCGCCCAGTTGGTTGTCAAACAGATCCGAGGACGCGGCCGCGAGTCCAGCCAGGAGCACGGAGAGCAGGGCGGGGAGCGAGCCGCGCATGGCGCCGCCGAACCGGAGCGTCCGAGACGGAGAGAGGAGGAAGAGGAAGAAGAGGAGCGGAGCGCACTCAGGGGGCTTCGACCTGCACTGAGCTCCCTTTGTGCTGCTGCTGCTGCTGCTGCTCGGCTCCTGTCTGTCTGCTGCGCTTCCGATCCGCTCCTGCTCGTGGCGTCACGCTCATCATCATCACCATCGCCATCACGCACGCGCCGTCCCTTTTTGGAAATCTGCTTGCAAAGTGTCTCCACTGCAGTGCCCAAAAAATGTGGCCCTGATGACTTTCACGGGACTGGAGTGGGGAGATGATGAAGACCTGGAGCGACTGCTTCATCTGTTAATATAATATCATGTGTTAATACTGTCATGCATGAATATTACTATGTATCATGTGTTAATATTACTGTATATCATCTGTTATTATTACTGTATATCATGTGTTAATATTACTGTATATCATGTGTTAAT